CTACTTAAAACAAGCTGCACTGGAAGCAGAGCAACTGAGGAAGACAGGAGCTGTGCAATGAGAAAATAAGATAATGGGGAAAATATTTTTATAAATTATAATACATGTAGTGTATTTAAGAAACATTATTAAATTATAAAATAAGATATAACTTTGTGATTCTGTTTAGGCCAGCAGAGAAGGCCTTGCAGGCCCTGACGGCCCACCACTGATATATACTGTATATACATTTCAGATAGATGATGTTTCAATTTAATTGAATTCAATCTGAGCAACACATTTTACTTCATTGATATGGGCTGATTCACAAATACTATTTACTGTAACTCCTAAATATTATCAGGAAATTGCAGACCCCAAAAGTCACACACCATCCTTTGTTGCTTTAGCTTGAATTCTTTAACTCTGTTCGTTAACCACTGCAGTCAAATTCCAGCTTCAACGCAGAGGGAGACGAACACTGTTGAAAGTGACAAGGATGTTTGACATGTTTCTCAGCAGTAGCAGACCACAGTCTGGGCTGTGACACTGTGCAGGTTAAGTAGGGATTTACACTGAATCAATTGTCTATTGTCTGTTAATGGCTCTGTGGGGGAAAGCATATTGCAGATTTATAAACCTCTCAACGGGATATTAATAAATCACACACACAGACACACACAGAGTGAGAGCAGTGAAGTGGGGCTGCTGTAAATCAAAAGATCTAAAGGGGTTTCACCATAAACGCTCAGTTTTCTACCATATATATGAATAAGAAAAATGTATTTATAAAGAATAATGTAAATAGGGTTGAAAACACATTGCAAAAATCTTCATGTTCATCAAGACATTTCTGTTTATCACTGAGTCCTAAAAATACGTTTATTGAGAAAAGAAACAGTTTTTCCAGAGATGAACGTCTTCAGACAGGAAGTAAAATAATAAGGATGCACTAGAATCAAAAAAAGGTGACTGACATAAATGACTAAATATGACATTTTTGGAAAATAAAACATATTGTTTGTCCCCCGCTGACACTGGCTTTTGTATCTTATATACGTTTAAAAAAGATTCAAGGCCATCGATTATTATCGTGTAGTCATTTAAACTTGCACCTGCACTGCTGCTGCTAACCACAGTTGTACTGGAGTCGATGAACCTCCTGCCATCTATCTATCTATCAACTTTGACAACACATACCAACAATAAAGAGAACTGCAAATAGATAGAACACAAGTAAAGAAACACATTTACCATACAACAGAAAACTGGCTCACAACGTAACAGAAATGTACTGATGGACACTAACAACTGATGGGCAATGTTTAAAAACAAGAAGGAACATTTCTCGCTAATTTTCCAAGATCATTAATAAGTGATGGACTTTGTTTAGTTGTGTGTCTGGACATGTTCATTAGTTTTAGGACCCTTGTCCTACTGTGAGACATGAGTTTCTACCTGCAGGGGAGGAGTGTGTTTCTTTGAGACTGTCCTCCCATGGAAATGACCCAGCATCACTTCTTGTTCAAATAGCTAAATATGACCTGTGTTCATGTTCCAGACAGGCGACCACTAAAGACCATGTGGGGCAAAGGTGGAAGTTGTGTGATGTTGTAGCACCGCAAACCTGATTGGGCGGAGGTTTCTGTGGATAGTTATGTCAACAATGCAAGTGATTTGAACATGGGAGACAGCTGCTTGTTTCCCACCGTCCGCATGACCACGATTGTTCCTGAACCACAACCAAAGCAAACCCTAAACCACAGCGGTGGCAGAAGCAACAACAGAGACAAACGAGGGATTTTGAATCATAAAATTCTCACTTGTGCTGACAAACAACAAGGTTGTGTGTGTTGTCAAGTTGCTGCATGTGGAAATGTGTTTTATTGATCTCCGCCACACGTCTGTCTGTATGTCTGTCTGTCTGTCCACAGACAATCTTACATACTGCTGGACCCATTAGCCAAATATTTGTTGTGCACATTTATGAATGTATGCCCAAGGACCTCTCCTGGTTTCGGTGATTCACACGTTTTGAAAAACCTATTTTATTGACTGTTTAATGCTGTCATTGACTAATGACTCCTCTTAACCGGCTGGTAGGGACGACTGATTCAGTAGCAAAAGCCATCAGAATCGTTTGGTCTCATCTTTAACCAGAGCATCTGCAGATTATTTTTATTCTGCTTATGTTACAATCCACTAAAGTAAGGCACGATGTGAAATTAATAAAGCTACTTCTTTGTTATCTTCAGCGACATCTTGACTGTAAGGGAGCCTGGAGGGACAATTTAGTGAAATTTAACTGTTTGAACTGTTTTCATGTAAATGCTACATATGTTGTCAAAATGGTGAGGAAAGACACAGAAGACGGAGGACACACTTACAGGTGTATGCAGTATAAGAAGTAAACAGAGAGAGAATGTTGCTTCATAAAAACAGATGCCATTAGCAAAAGCAGTCAGATTGAGCTGAATGTGATCTATTTCATCCATTTCCATCCACATAGAGGACGGAGGGATTGAGGCAAAGGGAGGTACTCTGCGACCCTCATCCCCTCCTCCTCCGGAGAAGAGCAAAAAACAAAACAGATGGATAACCTGGAACAAACCTTCCAATACACCTCACACTGTCATGGCTTTGAACTTCTCTTCTGGCTAATTCAATTATAAGAAGAGTCGTGGCCCACTTGGAAGCTGCTGTTGACTTTGTGATGGCAGATTGTTTCACCCTCTAACTCTCCCTCACGCTGCCTCACGTCGCTCACTCGCTGCGTTCAGGGCTCGACTGCTTCGCTGTAGAAATGTTAATCACGGTGTCGTTTCCCAGAGGAACACAACCGGGCTTTTCCTCTGCTGACACAATTAATAGACAGACATATGGAGTCAATTTGGCAGCGGCCCCTCTGTGACACACACACAGAGCAGGCGGCCCCTGGGAGCAGCTCAGCAGCTTTCACTTTAAATCAGCTCATTCACACTGATTTAAAATATTCATTTATACAAAGTCACCAGTGAGAAGACCATAGGTTTCATGTACTGAATATATAGTCCTCTACTTTATAGGGAAAAACTTCAATCTCCATTGATCAAGGCCCTCAGATTACATCTATTTACTCCATTCCTCAAAATACAAGGCTCTTCAGTCCAGCTGGGATACAACGGCTTCACAACCAAAGGAAACCTAATTCTCACCGATACTCTACAGGTGTAGCTTTACTCAGTGAAATATTATGAGCTTATTCTTATTCAATTAAAGCTTACAAGTACTACGACTTTATTCTTGACTTCTCAGAGAACACAGATGTGTGGGACATGTTTTGAATGCAACACTGTTATGCAACAGTGTAAAGTCGAGGTTTACTTTTGGACACGAACAGCGGTCTCCTGGGTAAGAGTGTTTGTTGAACCCCCCCATCCACTCTCAGTGGACCTGCTCCATTGTTATACTCGTCATTTTACCACATATTGATATACTACGTCACTTGCTCTGACCGAATGCAAAAATGAGGACATTCAACATATCCGTGATTTGCAGAAAAGTTAATTTTTTCTTGCCGACTGGGATGGGAATAATTCAAGTATACACAATACTTAGAAAGCACTGTCTGCTGCTCTTGTTACACCAACTAGTCTGCAGTCATGGCAGCTAGAAGCTCTCTCTCCTACACATGCTGCACACACATGCTCACAGACTGACGCACATCCAAAGAGAGTTAGATGCTGAACAGAATGTCAGCGCTGACTGAACCCACTTTCATTCCAATCAATTACTGATGTAACCTGTGCTTCACTCACTAATGATCTTAGCAAATGAATATTGGTGTTCACCTTCAGTTACACCTCAACAACCTCCTGCTGCTCCATTTTCACTATTTCAAATTAGAATTGATTAAAGTGGAGGCGATGTGATAATAGTCGAACATTTAACCCAATGCTGTAAAACGGGGCCAAAACTGTCAAGCAGCATCATCTGTTAAGGCCGAGTAGAAGCAGTGGAGTGTGGGAGAGATGCAGGACAGAGAAAGAAGCACACACACACACACACACACAGAGAGAGAAGGAATCCACACACCTTCACTGCAGACAGCATGGACCTCTTGTCCCGCAGTGAGAAAGAAGAGATCAGGTGGAGTTCATTGTCAGTTCAACTCAAAACGTTTTATACAGCCCAGATATTTTTGACTTAACTATTTATGATTCACAATGATATTGAAAGGTCCAATCAGTAACTGAATTTAAAGTTACTACGAGGAACGTTTATGAAGTCATTATTCTGACGGTCCCTGTGGACGAAGGCAGTAGTGTTCCCGAACACCAGACTCACTTTAGAAACCCTCTCATTTTGGGTGATGAACCTGCTTAATTTGATCTGATTTTGTGTGATGGCACTGATGACAAGCATTAACAATAACTACATAGAAATAGCCAATCTTCTCTCTGACGGTCTTGTTTACTGATGAAGCTCATTTAGAGGCATCAGGATTCATTTGAGACGGTTTCATAACCAGTTCAAAGTTCCTCGCAGTAACTTTAAGATACATCCACATGAGTTATTGATGGAAGCTCTGCGTGTCTCAACAGATCCAAATTGAAAACATGGGTCTGTTTTATGTGGGATTTGTGGAGGTTTGATTTTATTTGGCCCCTGGGAGTATAGTTCTCAGCTGGAATATTGAATGTGTATTGGTTGTTTGAATATGTAGGCCTATAGAATGAATGTATTATTACAACACAGTTTCATATGAATATTCACAGCACCTATAGTTATAGATACATAGTAACATCAAAAGCATAAAGAAAATCTTTTTGGTGTAACTCACTGTTTTGCATCATGGAAGCCACACCCGTCTCCCAGCTTGTTTGACTCCTGAAATCTGCACAGAGAGAGAAATGATATCAGACGGTTATAACATTCAGTTCACCTCACACCTCTCTCCTCATAGTCCACACTGAATCAGAGTGAAGGAAGAGAAGGCTTCCTCTTCAATCTCCACAGGTTGATTCTTGAAACACACAAAATGAAACCTCAGACACTGTCTGGACAGAATGGCCGAATGCCAAGCCGTCCTGTGATTGGTTCATATGCTAATGTTGCTAATGTCCATAAAGTTATGAGCAGAGACTTAAGTCCCGCTCTGGGAGTCTAACTCTCCCATGAGGCTGAAACATTTCTACTACACACTGAAGATTGGAATCACAATTCTGTCACTTGTACCAACATTTATATTCTTTCTCTTCGAGACATTTGTGTCTGTCATTCAAATACACGTTTTTGTTATCAGACAAAAATGAACTTTCTGCAGAAGGAAGGCTCTCTAAATCTTTCTTCTTCTGGTGTTTCTGTATGTGTTTCTGCACGGCTGGCCTGCATGCTGTAAAACTCACAACCCTGTCTGCTACAAAATGACATCTTCTTTTCCCTGCTTACAGTTTGCAGTTTGAACCAGTTTGAAACACGTGGTTGACGTTGTAAATTGAAATAAAAGAAAACAAAAACATGCTACAAAACTTCATGGTTGTGTTCAGGCAACAACAGAACTTGGTTCATTTGGGACATGAACAGTAATCTCCTGACCTGTCCACCAGCCTGACCTCTTCTCTTTGAGGACTTCCTCAGACTCATTTCAAACGTATTTGTGACCCAGCACAAAATATCGGAGATTTCTTCTCTGGGATATCATTGTGAGGAGACAGGGCTGGGTTTTTCAACGCTGTATGAGAATATATCTGACAGGATTTATGAGCCAGCTGTTGTGCTCTCGAAGAAATTAACTGAACGTATATTTCAAGAACATAAATTACAGCAATTTCCAAATCGTTCTTAGATTATCTTTGGGGGCAAAAGGCAGAACACACCCAAAGTTTTTACCGAATATAATTCCAAATCACTCTGAATGTCGTAAACAGAGGCTGAATTTTATTTCCTGCAGGTGTGAAAGACGCCTATAGATCAGCAGGAGTCACACTGACTCCTAGAGAACACAGCCGACTTGTTCTGACTTTAAGAATGCTTCAGATTTTCTCTCAGTTATCACGGAGAGACGACATCTCACCCCATTATGTTGAGACAAACATTATTATCGCTGTAAAGGCCGAAGGAAGAATCCCAAAGCCCAATGATGGAAGTGCAATGAAATACACATGAAGAAATACAAAAGATAAGACGGACAAATCAACCTAACCATGGAATTGTGAATTATTAGAGACTGCTAAGGAGTTTCATCCTGTGTCATCCACCAGTCCATCACATGTTTCTCTTGTCTCTGATAGATCCACCCTTCACCTTTTCATCAGTGGGATCATCACTGCGCCTGGACATTAATCCAGGCTTTGTGACAATTTTGAAATATAAATACTAATGGAATTAAGTAATAACTAATAAATCAACGTGTCAAGGTAAAGGGCAATTGCACTATTGCATGTTTATTTTACTAATTTTGACTGTATTTGTTGTAACAATTCTGAACAATTTGTATAAGCACATATTTTCCACATACATTATATAAAAAGGACATCACAGTCTACCATCTGATATTGAAATTGAATAATAGCATCCAATAATAATAATAATTTGTTTTAAATCATTTCAGAATGACTGATAATAACCGTTTGTAACCTAGTGGTGTTAGCACTGAACCTGGTTCAGTTCCTGTCTCTCTTTATTACACAGACTAAATGGACATACACAATAAATCATATTTATTCATATTTGTTAATAAAAACATGCATGTCCATAAATATGTAACTGTAAAATACCGGTGCATTCTTGTGAAAGGATGGTCAGACCACATGAGCAGTTTAGAATAGTTGTTGTCATTAAAGCCGCAGAAAGCACGTGACGTTCACTCTGCTGCGTCCCAAAGCCTTTTAGGTTGCCTTCAAAAAAGAAGCTCTCCAATAAAAGCTTCAAAGCAGCTACTTCTCTGAAGCTCTTGTGTTATTAACAACCTGCATAATGAACGTGAAGCGGCTCCACGCACCACACACACACACACACACACACACACACACACACAGGCCGGCCATAGGCACCTTGTCCCCGCTGTAACTCGGCGCCTTTCTCCCTGTGAAAGGAGACAAAGAGCCGCGGCTCTCCTCGGTAAATACCCGCCGGGCTTTGTGTGGCGACGGGGTTTTTGGTGTCGCTCCCTCGTTAGTTGCAGCTCGTTAAAAAAACCTGCGACACAAAACCGCGGCGGGGAGCCCAATTTGACCAGTAGCCTACAGCTGACATAAAGGGGTTCTGTTGAACACGCTGATGACAATATAAAAGTTTCATTCAGTCGCATTCAGCGGCCGATATGAGCAGAGAAGGGCCGAGAGAGACGCGACGAGCTGCGGCCAACACTGCTGCTGATTTACCCAACTTTAAAAGCACGGAAGTTATCACATGCTCATAATAACAGAAAGGAATAACAATGATAATATAATAATAAATGATAGTATTATGATTATTATAATCATAATACCAACATTGTAATAATTGTATGCCTACACACCTATAACAGGACATGGTAATAGGCCTAAGTAGAGGCCACATTAATAGTAAAGGCCTACATATGTATAGAAGAACACAGAGTCAACTCTAGAATATTTAACGGGAATTTGGAAAACACGACAATATCACCAGATTTTTCAATACTTAATAAAACTTCACAAAACACATTATTCTATGTTATCCTCGCCTTTCAAAAGAAGAAGCGAGTTTGACATCTAAGTAGACCTTACCAACCAAATAATAAGTTATACAAATACTGTTAACGGACAAATAAAGTCGTATTGAAGTGAATATAAATGTTATTTTAATCTCTTCTATTTATTGTGTTTTGTGTAGTTGAAACGAGTGTTTACATGGCGCTTTTTTGTTTGCGTCAATAAGAGATGCACCAAAGGAAGTTCCTGACAACTTAGACTCGATCAACTTCATCTGGAATGAGGAAACAAAACAATTGTTCCATTTAAAAAATGAAATGAGCTGAATTCGAGCCTCAGTGAGATTAAAGTGAATCTTCGATCAAATTTACTTCAGAAATCAGACAAGAAATTGGCCAATTTTGGAAGATCAGTTTCTATTGAGAGAGTTTGTGTTGGAATAGCATGCAATGTTTTTTAAGTTGTTTTAAAGCGCGGTCACGTGATACAAAGTAGCAGGCAACATATTACAAATTCTCCTCTAACTATGTATTTAATATCATTAGTTAGTATTAGTATTTTAGTGCCCATGGTTGAATAAATTCTGTATTCAGCTTCTCACGGCTTTTAGCCCTCAAACAGCCTACAATTTGAAATTTAAAAATAAAAACAACTAATTGTTATTTATGTGTGATGATTTATTAAAATGTTCGTTGGTGAGGCCGCTCCGCTCACTACCGTCGTGTTATATATTATAATATAATAAAATGTGTCGCGTCTCCATCGGAAGATATGGAGGCAGCGCGCTCCCGTCCCTCTCTCTCACACACACACACACACACATGTTCCAGATTCACATGTTGGATGAATTCACTTCCGACCTGATTAATCATGCAGTTAATTGAATTCGATTTAATTTAGACGTTAATTAACCCCTGATTTAATTAGAACAATTAAGACGCACTTTATCGTCATGTATTTGGAATTTTAAGCCCCCCCCCCCCACTCCAAAACAGCATGTACTGTAGGCATATTACACTGATATTCATATTCATAACCACTTTGACTATGATGAAGGATTTTTGAATGTGATTTCAACACAGATATCTTCATGTTTTCTGTATTTTCTTTCTGAGAGCTGCGATGTAAACATTCTCCATGAAGTACAACAGATGTTTAAACTGAGGAGGATGCAGCGTTTACATACTTTATTAAAAAAATACATATTCTTACATACGGCCCTTTCATTAGGTCAAAATAAAATAAGATATGAAGCTCTTTACAAGCTCTAAATGAAAGATGACGGTGTCTTTATAAAGTTCTTAACGCCCCAGAAGAGTTTAAGAAGAGCGCCCACTTTGACGAGTATCGACTGATTTCATGACGATATCGAAAATGTTCATTTCATTTATTCATCACCAGGGACAGTTCACATTAATCAACATTTCAGTTTCCACCTCAATGTAAATGTGCCAGAGTTTCGTCTGTAGTCTCTGGGCTGGTTATTACAATATAGTGCCATAATACTATCAGTATACAATTTAACATTAACACCATAGTACCTACAACACTGTAATGTAATTAGTGTTTTCTCTTAAATGTCAAGTCATGTGCATATGTTGTCTAGTACAATAAATGAGGGCGGCGATGCGTGAGATAAAGTCAGGACGACAGAAATGGTTAATAAATACATATCGTAAAATATGAGTTTGATGGAGTTCAATAAAATCTACAAACGTGCTGCAACCCAACAGTTTATTGACAAATTGCTGAAAAATAATTTCTGCACTCACAGAACCATGACGCAGGATAAATACACGCGTATTGAAGTATTTAGTATGTAGGAGGGAAAACAAACGACTTCGAACAGCTCACATGTACACGCACGCGTTACAGTCTGCTCTCCAGAGTACACCTCGCTTCCTGCTCCTTCCAACATGGAGTTCGACTCACGCTGTCATACTAGACAATCTGAGTTATGATTAATCCACATCGCGCGCTGATGGAGGAGCGGGTGGCAGCACCATGAGCCCTCAGCGCGAGCGTCAAAGCGGCAGTGAGTTTGTCGTTTGGTTTTGTTTATGTTACGTGTCCGTGTGAGTCAGCGCGAGGTGGGGGGATAAACCCCGACCCGAGCGCTGCAGTCCGGCCTGGAGCAGGACGAGCCTCGATATCTTTAGGTTAGGGAAAGATACAAC